ATATATTTAAAAGCTATTTACTGCTAATGATCTATTATTACTGTTTAAAAGAAATTGTTTTAAAGTTTAAAAGAAATGGCTTTTTTTAGTTATTTTCTTTCCACTGCCCATGTCTTTTCATAAAAGTTAGCAATTTCAATATTCTATTTCATTTCAAAAGAATTAAGCATTCAGTAAACAGTAATCAAGCAAAAAGAAAAGACCTTACAGGTCATTTTATGAAAAAAAAAAATTATATAAAGAAAAGAGAAAGAACTGAGAAAGCTATTGTCAGTGAACACATGCATTCACTTACACATGTGAATTACACCTGAATGATCAGTTTTCTCTAACACACAGGGAAGTAGGCAAGAAATCTATAAATACCACAGCCTACAAACAGGTTTCGATAGAAATAACTATCACTGCCCCACCCAGCCTCCCCAGATGAGGTTTTTGGCTGCTGGAAATGCACCAAGTTTATATACTCTCTTCCAAAATTTGTATTCTGTCTAGCCTCATTTTCATTGTAAGAAAACACAGATACTAGATGTCTTAGGGAGTATAAAAATCAAATTTGTACATATATGCCACATATGAGAAACACTTGCAAAACTGTATGTAGTCACCTGAATGAATTTTTACAGTTAGCAAAAAATACATATCCATGCCCATACATGGTCATTGCATTATGTCACTGTGTCATACTGAGAGTCAGCTGAGGTTACCTTTGGAGCTGATTTATCATTATAAAAGCAAAGCGTCATATAAAAGCCATGAATTTCCATACACTCAATGTCTAGGGTATCTTGATCAGAGTGATAGTAAATGATGTGGCTGGCTCAGTTCAACTCAGCACAGCTGGAGTGCTGTTGCTATATATAATCAAGCTATCTCTGACCATATGAGCCATTCCATCAGCTGCAGAATATCAGCATCACCTTTGAGAACTGCTCCTCGTCCAGGCCAGAGGACAATAAAAGCAGTATAAGCCTAGTTTGCTGATTCATGGAGTGATCTCATTAGATCTGAGCCCAAACTGCTGCTTACAAGGTGAGGGAAATTATACTGCAAATGCAATGCAAAGATGATACGACTAACTTGAATAAGTGAGCCAGGTGTAAAGAAGGCAGCAATATCAGACTACTTGACTCAGAAGATGGCTGGACCACATCAGAAATGTATTTAGTCAAGAATCGTTTTGGAGGATTCAGCCAACTTCCCCCTTTAGAGAAGCCTCTAAAGCAGAAGTGTGTTACCCTCTTGCTTTGTGTCCAACAAATGAGTGCAGAGGGAGAAGAGCCACAATATTCCATAAACAAAAAGAAGTATTTTATTTGTTCAGAATAACAGATGTTTATCTTTGTCAGGACAATCAAAACTACAACACTCTGCTATAAGTAAGACCAGTTTCAGTTCAGCTTTAATCTGTTTTTCCCTGCACTAGAACGGGAAAAGAGCCAAGGAGACAGAGACTGCTATTATTGAGCACTTACATTATCTCCTTATGGCTGAAAGCATTGTATAGTACAGGAGGGATCCTTAATTGCTTACATGCCTTTAAAAAAGCAGTAAGACACACAAAACAGATACATACTATCAAGAAACATGTTCCCACATTACCACCGCCTTGCTAAACTCCCGCCATCTCTCACATTACTAGGTAACACTATCTTCGTGCTTAGTTACTTTGTGTTAAAGAAAGAGACGAATGAGAAGGAAGGGAAAAAAGGCTGTTAAAAGTATTTTAGCACCTCATCCATAACTATGATGGTCTCAGCAGATATATCCACTAAATTTCATGGTTATGAGATTATACCTCAGAGCAAAGCTTATTTCAAGAGCACTTATCATCATCAGATCCACTTGCTGAAGCGATTCAGCATACACTTAATGTTTTAATCTACTTTTTCCTTTCATTCAAGAGTGCTGGTCAGGGATGGCAGGACAAGGAAATCAACAAAAAGAAACTTACTGAAAGGAGAAAAAAACCCCAAAAATTTACTAGATTATTTTCTTGACTTAGTTAGCTAATTCGCCAAACCAGTAACAAAACAACAACAACAAAATCCCAGTTGGATTAACTCTGTAAATAATAGGTGAATGTGTAAAGAACAAAATTTCTAAGCTCTGCCATTTCAATTCCACCTGCAAATATATACACACAAATATATATGTATATAGAATATAAATATATATATATGTAAAGTCAACTTTTAACTCTTAGCATTAGAAGTTTAATCCCCCATACATGTCAAGAACTTTGTAAGCAAAGATATGTGAAGTCCAACTCCCCTGAACCATATTTCTTACTGCTCTGAGCATTCATGAAGTTAATCACCCTTTTTAGCATGGGAAGTATACTATACTGCTCCTAGCAGCCTAGCAGTCTGAAAATAATGGTTATAAAATAAGTAATCAGATTCTTAACACCGTGTATCTGCTTACCTAGCAGTATAAAGAATTACAAGAGCACCTGTATTAGATATCTTACAAAGCAAAATAGAGATGTTACATTGATGTTACAAATACTATCGTACAGGCATGGATATAAAGTAGACCTGTGGGATTTTTTAAAATGTGTTACAGAATCTATTTCTATTTTTTCTTTAGCTGGTACCATTGAAAGTTACACATCTGCAAGAGCATGTTCTAAAATGTAGCAGGTTCAACATCAGTCATCTACAACCTCAGTTTTGAAAGGAAAAAATGTAGCTCTTTTAATACACAGAAGAATGAAAAAATCATCAATTTTAAAGATATTCTCTCTTTTCCCCTTCCAGATCTTGTATAATTGCAAGCCCTTAATTGATGATGTGCATGAAGCATTTCTGTGGCTCCCAACGAACAAAGCACAGAAATCTGACAAAATCAATTACAAATGAGCAACAATAAGGCTTGATCTTTACCCCATTCAAGTCAAGTACAATCCCCCTGCTTTGATCAGTAAAAGCAGGTCCTGTCATTTTTGCTCAGCCTGCTTTAGTAAAATGCTCTGCATGAAAAATCAAAATTGTACCATGCCAATTTGTGTGGATTAATCACACACAAAACAGCCTGATCTTACTCTCACAGTAGAGTTTTGCAATTGATTTGAAATTAAAAAGGAAAATACTTACATACATAAGTAACTGTTAATGAAACATTTTGGGAGGTCTCACCTACTATCAGGCTGGCAGAATGCATTTCTAGATATAAATTTCAAAATTAGTCTAATGAATACAAGAGAATTCTGAAAACTGACTTTCTCACCTGTATGTATAACTAACACTTAAAAATATAAGGTATTGCAAAATTAAAAATTACTTTAAATGAATGAAGAAAAATAACCAAAGCAAGTGGATACAGACTACTAAATAATCAGAGTAGCTTCTGTGATGCTAACAACAGCCACATAGAAACCAGCAGAAATCTGAATCTAAGTTTAGGCTGACTAACTGTTCCTCCATCAAAACACAGCCCTGCTGTGATACATATTGCAGTTCCGATGACAAGAGATGCAACATCACGCACCCGCTTTCAGTGCTCAAAAGTACACATTGTACAGACTGCAAAGAAAAAAATTCATTATTTTATATTATCTAAATAATACTCATAATTAAACTCATAGTACTTAAATTGTAACTCTATTACAGTATTTAACCCAAGTGCTTCAATTAACTTTTGAGAACCTCAGATTTTCAGGCAGATGACAACTTTTGCTGTCTTTTTTGGTAAATCTGTAAAGCAACACAGAAGTTAAAAACAGCCCATGACAGCTTATTTTTCAAAACAAATATGGCTCTCAACTGAGCTAGGAAAACAGGCAGGGTTTTTTCACAAACCAACATCCCAGGTGCCATATTCTAATCAGGGAGAGGGAATGCTTAGGATTAGTGGAGTGGTACCTGGCAGATCAGCTATTTTATCATTTTTAAAGCATCTTTACAGCCCTTCTCTGGTATGTCGTAACTACCCGTCTTCCTTTATCTTCCTTGACTATCCTAATAGCATACCTAAGAAGACAGCACTGAAAACACGTAGGTGTTGGCATAAGGAATCGTTCTTTTGTTCTCTGCTGTTGAGGGAACACCACCTTTGTCAGGCGGCGCAGCAGCGTGCGCAAGTGAGCACCCACTTGGATCCATCTGCCTCCCCGTGACAGGCGGCCTCTGCACGGAAACACTCACAGAAAATGAACAGTCACTGCTGACCGATCATTAGCCTGACGTCTTGTGTTTAAATATACATATATACGTATTTATATGTTTGTGAAACGTGTGTTTTGAGTTCAGCAACCTCGGAGTACAGTGAGTTCGGTTCAGTGATGAACAGCGTCTGGCGCGTCTCATCACCGAGCTCCCACATCCTGACAGCACCGGGAGTGTTCCAACACAGGACCGCTCACACGGATACCACTCGCAAGGGCCACGCACAGCTCTGCTCAGCCCCGCTGCAGCCCTTACCCCGGGTTGCTGCTCCCCACGAACTGCCCCTTCCCACCGCACGCCCACGTTGTCCCTGTCCCCGCAGGGGACACAGCGCGGGCTTCGCCCCGGTTAACTCTGGAGAGCGGCCCTGCGGCGGGGGCACGAGCAAACTCTCCTGCCGGCACCGCTTCCCGTCGCGGCCCGTCGTCCTTGGGCTTCTTGCGGGGCTTCCCTGCGGGGGTCGGACAGGACCCCGCCGCAGCCCGCGGGTCCCGTAGGTGCCGAAGGGCCCCTCTCCCCGTGCCCGCCGCGGCCGGCGCAGGTGGCGGGAAGGCTGCGCCCATTCCCGGGCAGACCTCGCCTCCTAGCGCCCGCGCCGGGCCGCGCTCCGGGCACCGGGAACGGCGCCCCGGCTGCCTCCCGAGCCCCTCCACCTTCCTGCATCGGGCCCACCGCGTGACCGACCGAGGGGGCAGGGAAAACGTAAGGGCCCGGCAAGGCCAGCAGAGAAGCAAAGCCGGGGAAAGACACCGAGCTGACATGGGTCCCCGGCTGCCCCTGGGCCCGCCCAGCCCAGCCAAGCCCGGGGCGGAGCGGGGGGCTTGGCGTTACCTTTCGAAGAGCAGCCGGATCATGAAGATGCAGAAGGCCAGGGGGAAGGCGAGGTAGAGGTCCTCCGCCTGCGGGAAGGCGGCTTCCTCCGTGCTCTGCAGGTCCGCCCAGGTGACGTTGTGCGGCAGCCAGAACCGCTCGTTCCAGAACCAGGCGAGGATCCCTGCCATCTTTGCTTTGTCTGCCGCGGCACCCCCCGCTCCGGTCCGCCCGCGGCGAGGCGCGTGTGAGCGGCTGCCGAGGGAGAGGAGGATGGAGGCGTGTGTCAGCCCCGCAGCCGCGGATGATGCTGCCGAGCGCGGCCGTGCCGGTTCCCCGCCCGGCGGGGGCAGCAGCCGCCCCGCCTGTCACACGGCCGCGCCGGCCCCCATTGGCTCCCGCCCGCGCCCGCCGCTGTGGGGCTGCCCCGGAGCCGCCTTCCCCCGCCCCTCTTCCCGTGCCAGCAGACCTCACCGAACCGCGAAACACAAGTGACGCGGCCCGAGCGAGCGGGGACCCCGTCCCGCGGGCACTCACCGCGCCCGGGACTGCCGGCACCGGGCGCAGCCTCTGCCTCAGCGCCGGCCCGGCGCCCCCCCGGCCTGGCGGCTCCACGCCCTGTCACCCGGCCGCCGCGGCCCTCCCTCCCTTCGCCGCCCGGCCGGGCTCCCGGCGAGCCTGGAAAGGCTGTCCTCCCATTGGAATTGGCAGGTGGCAGGAGCGAAAAGCTGCACAGCCACGCGGAGCGGGGACGGCTGCCTCAGCCTGATCCCCGCGAGTGACCCCTGCCCGAAGTGCTGCTCTTGAGGCGTTTAACCGGGATCGGGGCTGTCTCGGGTGGAAGGACCCTCAAACGTTCAATGACTTCACCCTGAACGCGAGTACAGGCGTAAATGAGGCATGGAAAAGCGTCGGAAAGCACACGACTGATCAGCAACAAAACTGAGGTTAGGACTGTGGCTTTGCACTCCCGGCTAAAGAAAACCTTTTTGTTTTTTGCATAGGTTCTCACTTTCGATTCCTTATCTCACTGCCGTGTCCCACTAAAGATATGCTGCAAGAGGAAAACTATAATTGATTCCACTATACTTTACAGCAAAGGTGTCTAGCAGACTTTAGTGTAGCTATAGCCACAGGACTGTACACATGGTGGTCTAAGCACACACAACGTTACTTCAAGTAGTAGGTATACCACTCCAGTAACATCACTATTTTGTCTGCCCTGCCTCAGTTTATTTTAGATGGCTTAGGTTTCCTTCCCTTGTGTCATGATTCTCTTCAGCTAGCTATTGAATACTAAGAGACACAGAATTCTGCACATGGCATATTTCAGTTTTGCCATCCTGCTTTTATGTTTTCTGCTAACTTGTTCTTTTCGCTCCACTGGCTCTATTTCCCCTTCCTAAAAAATTAATTGCATGGCTCCTTGTGTCTGTGCTGACATTTCTGTGGTGAATAAAATTATAGCTCAAACATAATGCTATGGAAAACGTTGCACTGATTTAAAGAAAGCTATCAATTTCTGTATATGGAGATAATTTCCATCTAGGACATTTCAGGGAAGTTTCAGGAAATGCTTTGGCAGGATGGCTGAGTAGCCATGTGGGTAAACCTGCCACTGAATGTTTCTGTTTTATTGCTGAGCCAATTTCCTAAGTGTCTGTATTATTATTATTCTGATTCAGTTTTTGTGGTTGCTTCTTGGGGAGAGAGAAAAGAGCAGATAGCTGGAGCCTGCTCCATGGACACCTAGTCCTTCAAATTGTCTGAAAAAAAGTTTGAGTTCTAGCATCACTGTCAGATCTGCCTGTCCCCATCTCTTCCTTCACTGCATCTCAGGATTCTTCTCTGACATGAGCTATCTGTCAAAATCCAGGGCTTTGCTGTAATTTCAGTTCAGAGGGAAAGCAGACCATGAGTTGCACACCTCAAATGCAGCCTTCTTCACTTACAAATAAGACTTTTTGTGCAGAAGAAAACATCTCTCTGCTCAAATCAGCAAGACCCCTTTTATCCAGTACCAAAAACTGGCTACCATCTCTCTTCCTCCTTCCAACTTCTCTGCCTTGTTCTCACAGCCAGATTTAACCTCTCTTCCAACTGACTTAGAACTCACCTAGGATTTCCAGTGGGAGCTTATCTTTCAGCACTGTCTCACAAACACCTGACCTGGCTCCTGCACATACACATGTGCTTCTCAAATCATTCAGATCACTCAATTTTATGAATGGACTTGCATAAGTCAGTTTTAAATGGAGATGTGAGTGCATGTCCTCAGAATGCCCTCAGAAGCATCAACTTTGAAATCTGATGAAAAGCTCTTTAGATATCATTTTAATGTCTGACAATACACATATAACCATTTACTTCATTAATGATAATTGTCTTTAAGGCAAAGTTGTTTTTAATCAGAAAATTGCTGTCATTATTCCGTACCTGAAGGTGACATGTCTTTTTGCAGCCTATTTCAATATTCCAATCACTTTAGAAGTACATTCAATATTTATGTCTGTTTGCATTCCAGTGAAGTAGTTTTTTCACAGTCAGTACTGAGACTCACAGGTGCTGCTGCTTGGCTTTGCTTATGTACAGATATAGGAAAGGAACAGACCTTTGAAAAATGAACCTAGCAACAGTAATAATCTGATGATGAGTAAGAGGTTAATTCCTTCTGAACAATTAGTATAATTGACTTTTGTGTCAGACTAAAATTTTTGGTAGGACAATAGATCTGAAAATGAATGACAGTTCTGAATGTTTGGAAGGATGATGTTTAAAAGCTTTTAATTGAATTCAAACTGGGGAAGCAATTATGTAGATGTAGCCAAGATATGACTGTGGAATGAGGATGCCTAACTGTTGTGCTTTGAAGGGAGATATTACCATGGTGGGTTTTTTTCTGCCCCCTAAAATTATTATATAACAAAATGGAGCCAGATAGAACTTTAAAAACCATGGTTTCATACGTGGTCTCATATCTTGAAGGAACTTATTCCAAGGTGGTGCTAGAACTTGGCTGGCCTAAAAAATGTAAAGGGTTGAAAGTGAGTCTGGTTCCTCAAAAACCCATCCTGGGCACTCTGTAATTACTAACAAGAGTTAGTAATAATTAAACAAAAGCAGATAGACAGATTCACCAAAAGTTACTGAACTTGTGTTTTTACTCCAAAAGGAAAAGAGAAAACTGACAGGCTGCAATTCGCTAGTTCGAGACCTTGAGCAATCAGCAGAGTGGCCGCTGTAAAATGAAGGACTTCTTTGTTTATGTCTTGTTTGTTTATTTAGCATCAAGAGCCAGGTTATTTAGGAATAAAATTACTGTTCTTAGTCTAATGAAGTTCCTCCTTCAGGCTAAGAGCAAGTGTATTGAATACATTTTCACACAGTGGAAGACTGCATTTGCTCACCAGCCTCACTTCTCCACACAGCGACAAAGTTCCGCTAGCCTCTTCACATCAGACTAGGAGATAGAATAAAATGTGTGACATTTTCAAATTTAGCATTGTTTTAACGCATGAAAATTCAGAAAGTTTTCTGGAATATTTAATTTAGTTTTTTTAATAAATATTAAACAGCTTAAAATATGCAGTGATTTTTGCTATCTTAGGCTTCCACACATATATAAACACACACACACACAAAAAGCATAGGTTAAAAATAAAAATAAGCAGTAGTTAGACATTAAGATAAGAGAGTTGCTTTAAGTAATGGGACTCCTAAGATACAAGGACAATGTTCCAATAAGTATTGCAAAAATTGCATAGAAAATCAGCATGTCGTTTAAACTCAGCTATTTGGCATAGAAATGCCATTTAAAGTTTTCAGGCAAATATGGCTTGATTTACAAGCTCATAACAAAACCTTGGAGGCTTCCTTCAAGGATATTAACAGGAATCTTTCCTACTGGGAGTGTTTCAAAAGCAGCTTTACTAGCTTGCAGTGGGCAATAGCTCACTATTTCTGTTTACCTGTCATGGTTTATTTTTCCATCTGCAGTAAACAGGAGTGTGTATGACATCTCCAAACTGCTTTGAGAGAGTTTAGTAACATGTATTTGTTACCACCAATGTGCTTGTGCCATATTGCTGAGCCACCTGGAGGAATTCGTCCACCAAAACAGGAAAAGTTGCAGAAAAACCTTGATTTTAAAGAACTGCTGAAGAATTAATTGAAAGCAATCAGACAAATTTTTTATCTCATTTAGTCTGCTATAACTCTGGAGTAGACTTACATGCAAGGAACTGTGATCAGACTCTGGACCAGTCCCTTTAATCAATCGGATAGTACAGGTGCCAATAACACTATCCACTGAGACTTCTTGATGTCCAAATCTGAACTGGATTGTTCTTAAGCAGAAGAGGTGGCTATGGCTGATCCCTATAAAAGCAGTGGTGCCAGTCCCACTTCCATAGGTCGGTGTCATTAGACTGCTGATATTGTGCCTAGAAGAAGGGCCAAGAACTGCCCGGGTGTTGTGTGACTGCTCTGTGCCCTCCTGGGGAGCGTGGAGGACCATGGGCACGGGGGAAGTGGCAGTGCAAGTCATGGCCATGAGCTGTCATTCTTCTAACGTGTCTTCTGCCTGCTGGTCCCAGCAGTTCTTGTGCTCCCTTCCACTTTCTTGTGCTACTAGTTTTTCCAGCTTCTCTAATAATTTCATGTGAGAAACACACTAACACAGCAGCAGTCTTGATTACAAATGCTATGCTGGGCCAGTCCAATCAGTCTTGACTCCTGCACAGGGTTGTAATAGTCTGAAGAGACCAGTCTGGCTTTACCCAATTACCAGACAACATGCCCTGAATTCAAATCACTAGCAGAGCTCCATGTAATAGCACTTAAAATACATCAATACAGTAGGAGTCCTCAGGTTATATCACTCCATAGGCTTCCAAATGTTTTATCTTGGCAGACAAACAAGTTTTGTCACTTGGAAAGACATGCAATGGTAATTAGTTTGGCTGCTGTGAAAAGATATGCGGACAAGTAGTTTTAGCTGAAAGAAAGGTCTACAAGCCTTGGGATGGTTTGTGCTTTGTGCTGGGCTTCGATTAAAGTCAAGATCTGAAGCAGAACTGCTCTATGAGGACTGGTCAGAAGGAGAGGAGGAAGCAGGAATTGCCTGATTCCTTGTATGTCTCCATGCTTCATTCGTCTTCGTTGTTCACTTTGGTTTGGCTTCCTGCTCTAGATTTTTAAAGAAAGCGTGCCAAAATGTACATCCAAATTATGACACCATCATAGTTCACTTGATTTCAATGTTGTTTAATTACCTGAATTTATGCTAGGAAGAAATGAACTT